AGAAGAATCATAAGAATAGTAAGAATAATAATACGAATAATAATAATAAGAAGAAGACGACGAATAACACTAATAACAATAATAATACTAATATTAATAGTATTAGTAATAATACTAATAATAATAAGAAGCATAATATTAAACATAAGAAGAAACATAATAAGACTAATAATACTAAGAAGAACAAGAAGAATACTAAGACGAATAAGAAACAGGATCATAATAATACTAATGCTACTACTAATAATAATAATAATACTAATATTAGTAATAATACTAATAAGAATAATAAGAATAATAAGAAGAAGAATAAGAATAATAATGCTAATAATAATAATATTAATAAGAAGAATAATAAGAAGAAACATAAGAATAATAATACGAATAATAATATTAAGAAGAATAATAATAATAGTAAGAAGAAGAAGAAGGATAATAAGAAGAAAAAGAAGAATAAAACATAATAATAAGAAGAATACTAATAAGAATAATAAGAAGAATAAGAATAATAAGAAGAAGAAGAATAATAATAATAATAAGAATAAGAATACTAAGAAGAAGAAGAATAAGAATAATAATAATAAGACTAATAATATTAATAAGAAGGAGAATAATAATAAGAATAAGAAAACGAATAATAATAAGAAGACGAATAAGAATAATACTAATAATAATAAGAATAATAAGAAGAAGACTAATACTAATATTAATAATAATAATAATAATAAGAATAAGAAGAATAATAATAAGAAGAATAATAATAAGAATAAGAAGAAGAAGAAACATACGACGACGAATGCTAATAATAAGAGGAGGATGGGGACGAGGAGGAGGATGAAGCGGAGGAGGAGGAGGAGGTGCAGGAGGAGGAGGAGGAGGTGGAGGAGGAGGAGGAGCAGCAGGAAGAGGAGGAGGAGGAGGAGGAGGAGGAGGAGGGAGGAGGAGGAGGAGGAGGAGGAGGGGAGGAGGGAGGAGGGAGGAGGAGGAGGGAGGAGGAGGAGTATGCGGAGGAGGAAGGATGAGGAGGAGGAGGACAGGAGGAGGAGGCGGAGAGGAGGAGGAGGAGGAGGAGGAGGAGGAGGAGGAGGAGGAGAGGGAGGAGGAGGAGAGGGAGGAGGAGGAGGGAGGAGGAGGAGTAGAGGAGGAGGAGGAGGAAGGAGGAGGAGGGAGGAGGAGGGAAGGATACGAAGAATAATAAGAAGACGACGAATACTAAGAATAATGAGACGAATAATAATAAGAATAAAAAGAATATTCATAACACTATTAATAAGACGAACAAGAAGAATAAGAGGAGAGGAGGAGGAAGAGGAGGAGGAGGAGGAGGAGGCGGAGGAGGAGGAGGAGGCGCAGGAGGAGGAGGATGAGGAGAAGGAGGAGGTGGAGAAGGAGGAGGAGGAGGAGCAGGAGGAGCAGGAGGAGGAGGAGGGAGGAGGAGGAGGAGGAGGAGGAGGAGGAGGAGGAGGAGGAGGAGGAGAGGAGGGCGGAAAAGGAGGGAGGAGGAGGAGTAGCGGAGGAGGAAGGAGGAGGAGGAGGAGGAGGCGGAGGAGGAGGAGGAGGAGGAGGCGGAGGAGGAGGAGGAGGAGGAGGAGGAGGAATAATACGAAGAAAAATAAGAAAAATAAGAATAATAAGACGAAGAAGAAGCAGAAGCAGAAGAAGAATAATAATAATAAGAAGAATAATAAGAATAAGAAGAAGAATATTAAGACTAATCAGACCAAAAATAATAATACTACTAATAATAATAATACTAGTAATAATAATACTAATAATAATACTAATAATAATGATAATGATAATAATAATAATGATGATGATGATAAATAATAATAATAATAATAATAATAATAATAATAATAATAATAATAATAATAATAATAATAATAATAATACTAATACTAATAATAACCACACGAAGAAGAAAGCTAATCATAATACTACTACGAAGACGAAGAAGAAGAGGAGGAGTAGGAAGAGGAGGAGGAGGCGGAGGAGGAGGAGGAGGAGCAGGAGGAGGAGGAGGAGGTGGAGGAGGGGAGGAGGAGGCGGAGGGAGGAGGAGGAGGAGGAGGAGGAGGAGGAATAAGGAAAATAACAAGACTAATCATAATAATAAGAAAAAAAATACTAAGAAGAAGAATGCGAAGAATACTAAAACAAATAAGAAGATTGATACTACTAATAAGAAGAAGAATGCTAAGAAACATAATACGAAGAACCAGAGGAGGAGGAGGAGGAGGAGGAGGAGGAGGAGGAGGAGGAGGAGGAGGAGGAGGAGGAGGAAGAGGCGGAGGATGAGGCGGAGGAGGAGGAGGAGGAGCAGGAGGAGGAGGCGGAGGAGGTGGAGGAGGAGGAGGAGGAGGAGAGCAGGAGGAGGAGAGGAGGAGGAGGAGGAGGAGGAGGAGGGAGGAGGGAGGAGGGGGAGGAGGAGGAGTAGGCGGAGGAGGAGGAGGAGGAGGAGGAGGCGGAGGAGGAGGAGGAGGAGGAGGAGGAGGAGGAGTAATACTACAATAACAATGATAATAGTTATACTAAAACTAATAATATTATTAGTAATAATAATACTAATAATAATACTAGTAATAATAATAAGAATAATAGTAAGAATAATAATGATAAGAATACTACTAAGAAGACGAATAAGAGGAATATTAATAATAAGAATATTAATAATAGTAATAAGAAGAAGAATAATAATACGAATAATAATGATAATACTAAGAAGAAGAATAATAAACATAATCAGAAGCATACTAATAATAGTAATAAGAAGAAGACGATTAATAATGATAATAATAATAATATGAATAATCATATGAATAATACGAAGAAGACTAATCATACTAATAATAGTAATCATAATACTAATAATAATGATAGTTATATTCATAACAATAATAATGTTAATGCTAATAATAATATTAATAATAATAATACCAATAAAATTATTAATACGAATAATAATAACAATGATAATAATACTGGTAATAATAATAATGATAATGATAATAATAATAATAAAAAAAAAATAATAATAATAGTAATAATAATATTAATGTTAATAATAATGCTAATAATAATAATGATAATAATAATAACAACAATAATAATAATGATAATACTAATAATGATAATAATAATAATAAGAATAATAGTAATACGAATAATAATAATAATAATACTAATAATAATAATGATAATAATAATAATCATAATAATAATAATAATAATAATAATAATAATAATAGTAATAATAAGATTACTAATAATAAGAAGAAGACGAAGAAGAAGAAGAAGAGGAGGAGGAGGAAGAGAAGGACAAGGAGGCGGAGGAGGAGGAGGAGGAGGAGCAGGAGGAGGAGGGGGAGGAGCAGGAGGTGGGGAAGGAGGAGGAGGAGGAGGAGGCGGAGGAGGAGGAGGAGGAGGAGGAGGAGGAATAATAAGAATAAGAAGAATAATAAGAACAATAAGAATAATAAGACGGATAATAATAATAATAATAATAACAATAATAATAATAATAGTATTAATAATAATAATAATAATAATAATAATAATAATAATAATAATGACACTAGTGATAATAATGATAATAATGATAATAATGATGATAGTAATAACAATAACAATAATAATAATGATAATAATAATAATAATAATAATAATAATAATAATAATAATAATAATAATGATGATGATGATGATGATGATGATGATGATGATGATGATGATGATGATGATGATGATGATGATGATGATGATGATGATGATGATGATGATGATGATGATGATGATGATGATGATGATGATGATGATGATGATGATGATGATGATGATGATGATGATAATATAATAATAATAATAATAATATAAATATAAATAATAATAATAATAAATAATAAAATAATAAGAATAAGGGAAGAAGAAAAGGAGGAGGAGGAAGAGGAGGAGGAGGCGGGAGGGAGGAGGAGGAGGAGGTGGAGGAGGAGGAGGAGGAGGTGGAGGAGGAGGCGGCGGAGGAGATCTACCCGGAGCCCATCTGGGAGGCCTCTGCCCTCGGAGCGGCCGCCCTCTCGCGGCGGCGCCCCAGGCGGCCGAGGCCGCGCGGCAGAAGGCCCTGTCGGAGCGGCCCACGCTCGAGGCAGCGCGGCTGCCCGCCGCCGCTGCCCGCCGCGGCCGCCGCCGCCGCCGCCGCCGCCGCCGCCGCCGCCGCCGTCGTCGTCGTCGTCGTCGTCGTCGTCGTCGTCGTCGTCGTCGTCGTCGTCGTCGTCGTCGTCGTCGTCGTCGTCGTCGTCGTCACTGTCGTCACTGTCGTCGTCGTCGTCGTCGTCGTCGTCGTCGTCGGCCCTCGTCGCAGCTGCTGGCCCTCGTCGCCGCCGCCGTCGCCGTCCCCTGCCCACATCTTCTCATGATATGCCGGACGACGCATCGCTATGATGCTTATATTTTGCATTGTAGCGTGGAGCCGGCTAGGAGGCTGAGGTGGCCCAGCACTGGTTCTTGCCAGCAGGAAGGGGGGGGGCGAGTTTCGAGGTGCTGGGTTCGGGAAGGTCTTTTGCTCTTTTCGCCTTCGTGGGCCATCTTCGGGTCCCGGGACAGTCAGAAACAGATCCGGGGCGAAAAATTGCACCAGATAGACCTCAGGAGGGGTCCGGGGACCGATTTTGAACAGATTTGCCCTCGTCCTTCCCTCTTGATCGATTTTGTGGTGCCCCATCCAGTTCAGACCAGCCGCCTCAAAGACGTAGCTACGCTACGCATGCCTATGAATTACTTTGCATTGTAGCACTTTTCTCGGACTGCATGGCACATCTTTGCCTGGACCGCCCATTTGGTCTCGCCAGATTTATGCCTTTTCAGTGTGCCTTGCCTCGGAGGCCTCTCGGCATAAGATGGCCTCGGGTGCTCTTGGGAGAGCCCCACCAAAGTCGAAGAGCGCCGCGAGCGGTCCCGAAGACGGGCAGGGGGGGGCCCAAGACGGCCCCAAGACGTCCCCGCAGCCATTTTGGCTCAGGACGCTCCCGCTCGAGAGCCAGCCCAGCGGCCAAGACTCGCCGAGCTCGGCTCACCGCGCCGCTCAGGGCAGGCCCCGGTCGCCGCCAGAGCGCGGCGCTCGTTCTGCCCTAGCAGCATGCAGTGGGCAGCCGCGGTGATGCTGCTCGCGGCCAGCGGGGCGCCTCTGGTCGCAGCCACTTACCATCAGCACTGGATCTTCAAGGGTGGCCAGGTCAGATACAAGGCCAACCCCGCCTACTGCGCCAGCGTGCGCGAGGGGAAGGTCACTGATGGCATGAGCATCATCCTGTGGCACTGCGGCAGGTCGAAGGAGTTCATGTGGCAGGTTGACGGCGACTACATCAAGCTGGCCTCAGATCCCAATTTTTGCATGAGCGTGCGCGAGGGGAAGGATGGTGATGGCTCCGATGTTATCCTCTGGCGCTGCGGCGAGTCGAAGCCGTTTCAGTGGTTGGTGGAGGGCGAGAAGGTGAAATTCAAGGCGTCGCCGAAGCACTGGCTCAGCGTGCGGGGCAACGACGCAGTTGACGGCGCCGACCTGATCCTGTGGTCGGGGCAGTCGAACGCCTTCCGCTGGCGCATGGACGGCCCCCAGATCAAGCTCGACGCGGACCCAGACCAGTGCCTCAGCATACGAGAGGGCCGGAGCGGCGACGGCTCGGACGCGGTCCTGTGGAGGTGTGGCACGCCTGGCTCGAGTGCGGGGCGGCTGGCGTCGTCGTACGGCTCCCCCTTCGACTTCGAGCACACCGGCCCCGCCGGCGGCGACAGGATGAAACACAAGGGGAGTGGGCTGTGCCTATCGGTGCGGGAGGGCAGGGTGATGGACGGCACGGACATTATCCTCTGGACCTGTGGGGACTCCCACGAGTTCGGGTGGCTGATCTCCGATAAGTACGTCCGCCTGAAGGCCAACCCGGACTACTGCATGTCTGTGCGGGAGGGGCGCGTCGGCGACGGCTCGGACATCATCCTCTGGACGTGCGAGGCAG